CAGACTTTAGCCAGTTTACTTTCAGCTTGTTGCTCTATAACCTTATTCTAAGCACTGCAAAGTTCCTCCAAAAATTTATTTCATATTTAAAAATTAATATCCAGTGGCATCTGGAAAATCCATCCCACTGTTATTCACTTTGGCAAATACTTTGTCTTTTGGCTTCTCTTTTCTAACATTCTTACTAAAACCCACCCTATGGGGCATCATAAAATAGAATGGCTTAGATTGACTTGAAAATATTTTTTTCAACCCCTTAGACAATTTTACCATCTGTACAAAACAGCTTTCAAAAGTTGTATTTGTCCTCTTATCATGCACCCACTTGTTCATGTAGGGCCTTCCAGTTCAGAAGGGAATCAGTTTTGTTTTCATTAACATATCCAAAAGCACAGGTTAACTGATTTTATCAAAAACCCTATGCATTTATAACTTTAAGTCAAGTGAAAACAAAATGTGGACCTTGTTTGAATCTCAATCAAGAGATGTAGGAGTTTGGATCAGGGTAGTAGTGGAAGCAATAAAGACACATGATCAGCTTTGGTATATATTCTGAAGAAATAGAACAGGATCATTTATCTTCTCAAAGTCTCCATGCTTCCTTAGGAATTTATCATATTTTGTCTTTTTCAGAAAATGAGAAAGGTGAATGAAAAATACTAGATTCAAGAACTGAAGAACAGAATGTTCAATTTACCTATGATTCTTACCAAACTTGCAGACCTAAGGATATAATTTCAATTTTCTGGCCTCAGATGTTTTTACCAATAAAATTACAACATTTACACTTTCTTTGCCTTGCCTTTCTCACATGACTATTATGAAGTTCCAATATCTTAAAGATAAAGCTCTCAAAACTAATTTTAACTTACTAGATTAATTAAAACTAATTTTAACACACTAGATTAACAAAAACTCTGCAATTTCACTGTACCACATACAGACAGACACTTAATGGTTCACTGAATGCTTAAAACGAGTAAACTACTCTTCAATACCCACATTTTACTGCTACCAGATTAATTAGGTATGGTCCAGGTTAGCCACCTGGATGAAAATAATTTATAACACACACATACATGTATATATATACTTATGTATATGTATACTCACACATAGATGTAACACTGAGTTTGTTTCAAAAGCCTAAGTCCTTACACTTTAATAAAACAGCAAGTTATACATACAAACTTGTGATGATTTATAGGAGATCCACACAGAACTCCAGAGTAACTATAGTCACTCATTGCACTGAGGCCTGAGTAAATTAGGGAAAAGACACAGAGGCTATAGTAGCCCAGGCAAGAGATGGTCACTCAATAAAATAAATCTTGGTCATTAATCAAGTGATTTGTAAATTAATATATATGTTTTCAATTAAAATGGTTAAGAACACATCATTAGTAACAGTTTTCTGCTTTAATCTCTTTCAATTAATTAACCATGTATACACTACTTCATTCATTTAAAAAGCATATCAATGCCTACTGTAATGGTTCTCAATATTAACTATACATAAAAATTTCCTGTAGGGCCTTTTTCAAAAATGCAACTGTCTAGGCCCTATCCCTAGAGATTTTGATTCTCCAAGACTGGAGTGAGGCCAGAGTCTCTTTTAGACAGCAGAGTTGATAAACATTGGCCTGCTAATTGATGTACACTCTAACAATAAGGAAGTAAAAAACTAAAATAAAACATGTTTTCACTTCAAAGAGTTCATAGTATAATAGCAGTGATAGGTTTTTTAAAAATCACAAGGTGCTGAATTTACACTATAGATAAATGTCAGGTGCCATACGAAAACAAAAGAGGAAAAATAAATAAAATAACCTGGGTAGGTAGATGAGGAGGCAGTGGCCAGAGCCAGTTTCACAGTGGTAGTGACTGACACGATAAAGGTTAAATTGGGAGTTCTTCAATTATATTAAAGGTGGAAGAAAGCATTCTAGTCAGAGGCTACAGAACAAGAAAAAGCATAAGATATATAACAATATAATGCTTTCAGGGAGCACAAAATGCCTTAGGAACCAGAGAAATGAAGATGGAAAGGTAAACAGGAACTCCTTCTGAAGGGAACTATATGAAAGTTAAGCAGTTTGAAATGGATTGTATAAAGCAGTGGCTTAAAATTGTACTTCAAAGAATTCAAGTTCATATCTTTCACAAATAACAGGAGCATTCAAATACATACTGAACTTAAAACAAGATGTAGTAAATTGATGTGCTCATCTTTTTTTTTTCCTATGTTCTTCTTATAGTTATTTCATTGGCTGCAAAGGGTACAGCTTTACACTTTTTTTTTTAAAGCTAACAATGCCCTCATATCTGTCTGTGGATATTATACAACAAAAACCAAATATTTTTAAAATTTATCTTCACAGATATATAACTTGTTATAACTTATAAGATAAATATATGCCAAAAAGTACATTTATTTATTTTTCCTAATAAGTGTTATTTACCAGGGTTTCACAGAGAGAACCCCTGCTCTAGGGAAATCAACATAGAATTTTTAACAGGAAAATGACAAAATTAACATTGTATTTCAGAAATAACATTATTACAACAAACTGAAGTGTAATGAGGTAAAACAAAAAGTGAGGAAATGAGTTAAGAAGTGGTTTCAAGAGGCCAAGCAAGAAAATGTGATGGAATGAACAAGTACTGGTAATGGACAAAAGAGAATAAATTTCAGAAACACTAGGAAATAGAATGACTTGATGACTCATCAGATAGTAGGGGGCGGTGATTTTCTAGATGCACATTTTAATTATGGCCATGTTTAAAAGGTAGAAAAGGAGTTGGCCAGAAGGTGCCAACTCCTCAGAACTCAGAATAAAATGTTCATCGGCACATTTAATCAGTGAGTTGAAATGAAGTCCCCATTTTAGTAATAGCTCTAATTATGGAATTTTCTCAATCCATTTTTATATATTTTATTATAGACTAGGTACCCTATAATACAATCATAACCACTTTTTAAAATTAACTATATTCCTATTCAAAAATGCCATAGTATTTTCCCCATTTAGTAAGACTTCAGTGCTATTGGTACATAGTTTATATAGGTATCTATCCTTATAATAGGAAATCATTACCTATTATTGTAATATATTATTATAAATTATATTTGTTCCACTATTTTAAAAGGTAATTTTTAAAATTTTAATACAATGTACATTTTATCACCCTTTCCAATCTATGCAAATACCTTCACCTCATTGTCTTCTCTCATTTTCCAATAACCTCTTACAGATAAGAAGTAAAATATTTATTCCCATAATACAGATGCAGGAATGAAATTTCAAGGAAGATAAATGCCTTGCCCAAGATAATCTAGCTGGCAAACAATAGAACTTTAAGTAAAACGCAAATTTTCTGAATCCTAAGCCAGTGTTCTTCCTACAATGCCATATATTTTTGAAGTAGTACATACTTAACTGCTGCCACTTCCATGACCATCTCTTGTCTGAGTATTCCATTTTATTTTCTTACATTCACATATTTTTCTGAAATATTTGATCTGAATATTTTCTCTACTAGCTTTATATCCTCAAATGTCCATGCCAGTCTGTTTTTTTATACTAATATATCTCTAGCAAAATTCTCCAGAATCACTATTATATCCATGAATTGAGGGAATTTGAAAAAAAAAATTCAGAATCTGGGAATAGAAATAGCAATATGTCCAAGTTTAGTGCATCAAAGCCTAATCCCCCTACCTAGTTAGTTTAAATTTGGCCTCTGGGACTCTCTTTCACATTTGCCTCATCACCCCTATCAAGCCATTCTTCAATCTGACAAACTATGTTATTTCATATTGAGAAAAAAATCACTATTGTAAAAAAATTTCACAGTGTGAGTTAGAATTAAATCTGTTTGTTTAATTCTGAATAAAATTGGCTTTTAAATTATTAATAACTCCAGATTTAATGCTTTTATGACAACCTACTAGGAACAGAGGCTGAGGCAATTATTGATACTTATTTCATTTATTCATTATTTTTTACTACAAAAATTATTGAATAATTCCAAAAAGAATTTCCTTAAATTATCAATATCTGGTTCTTAATTTCTGTGATTTCTAATTTTACTATTTTTTTCTTATGTATTCAAGCACATTTATAAAACTATATTCATTTGTATGAGACAAATGACTTAAAGCTTTTTCTTGTATAAACCATGTCAAAAGTACATTTCAAAGTAACCCAAAAAAGTGCAATAAAGATTATAAATCACTTTAGATCATAAAATGATATTATAATATCTCAACATATTAACATAATGCTTTTTTTATAAATTCTCTTCTCATCCTCTTGGAAACTATATATTTTTTGCTTATTCATTAGAAATTCAACATCAAAGTATAATTACCTAAAATATTTTCTCACTAAACTACACATTAACTATTTTTGAGTTCTTACAAGTATTATAAGTTTTCACAAGTAGTAAGACCATGAATTTGTTTATATATACATTTATGAAGAGTCTAAAAATCTGGGGATATTTTTATGTTCATAATTTTAAGGCAATGCCACTGGATCCTTTAAAAAATAGATATATTTATGTAGCCATTATCTACTTCATTCTAGCAACACGTTAATACTTTATTCGTTTTATACTGAACAGTAAAACAGAATAACAATTAGTTTCTCTGAATGCTAGTTCAGGAAAACAAGTGATTATCTTCTCCTTCAGTTTACTACTTATATATTATTATATTTTGTCCACTATTGGGTGGACAAAACATTATCTTGCAAATTCTACTTTTTGTGTGTACTTATTTCTTTCCCTAAACTGTCATTGCTTTTTAAGTTGATGCTAAAGTTGAAATATCTTTATTAACTCAAACTGACCTACCCACAGGGTTCTCTGCACCAGACTCTGATGCTGGCATCTCAACAATTTCCAGTACCTAATGTATGTGGGTTTATGTATGTTCCCCTTGTTCCTTTGCAACAACAAAGAATTGATAGGCATTAAACCAACTCAAAACTTACCTTGCAAATCTGGAAAAACTCTGAAGTCAGGGTCTCCTGAATCTCCTCTCTAAGAATCCCTGCAGTTGCTCCTGGATGCAGGGAACCACTTCCAGCCCCACCACCACTGTTACTGCCACTGCTGCTACCACTGCCAGGGGAGGAGGCAGTTAAGCCATCCAAAACTTTTCGGAAATTAAACTTCTTCATTTTAAACACTGTTGAGAAATTCAAAGGAAAGAAGAAAGGGGCCACTTAACACATAGAATCAGATCAGGAAAAGCTTTTATCTTTTCATTAGCCAAGCCAATCTCCATTTTATGAGCACTGGCTATAACTGGGGAAGAAAAAGAAAAAGAGGCTTCATTTTGTCAAATTTGAATTCTTAAAAAAACGTATCTTTATAAAATAAATAAATAAAACACAACTCCAAGAGCAACAGTATTCTCTCCTCATATATAAGATTTTCAAGGGCTTTCTCCTCAGCTGTAGCTACGCTTTATCAGCACTGGGGTAAAAATAAAAGGCAGTGTCATCATCGTCATTAGCATTATATCATCATTATTATACAATCAAACCAGAGTCCAATAGACTAAGAACCCCTGTGTCTCTCTTAAAGGCGGGCTTTCTTCTAAAGGTTCAGTTCAGAATATTTTATTTCCAGAAAAACGACGTTGCGGGGGAGCCAGTATTTACTCTGCCACCATCTTCCGGGCTCTCTCCCCATCATATTCAACGCTCTTTTTCTCACTAGGGAATTTGGGGAGTGAGAGGCAAAAGTGCTTTTTTCCGTTCCCAAACCCAACAGCCCGAGTCCCAAAATCATTTGGGGGTGACCCAGAGGCTCAGCCGACGGGAGGGGCGAGAGGCGACAACAGCTGCCTCCACTTGTCCCTCCGCCTCCCCCTCCCTCTCCCGATCTCCTGCCCCCTTTTCTCCCCGCGTCGCTTGCCCCCACCCCCCTCCCGCAGCCCGCAGCCGCCGCGGCTCTCGCCCGCCCGCGGTCCGCTCTCTCCGCAGCAAGGTGGCGGCTCTCAGGGGACGTGAGGCGGTGGCGGCAACGGCTGCAGCCCGAACCCGACGCTCCCGTGTCCCTCCCCTGGGCCGAGCACCGTGGCGCGGAGCTCCCGCCCGCGGGCGCGCGAACACACAAACACCCTCACACCGCCGCGCGCCCAGCTGGAACACACACAAACACTCTCACAGATATTCTCGCGGGCGCACTCACACAAGCACACGCGCGCGCGCGCACACACACACGTACACACACACACACGTACACACACACACACACACACACACACACAGGTGTGAGCCAGCCGGGGCTGGACGGCCGTGGCGTCCCTGCAGGTGAATATCTGACCCAGGACTAGGCACCTTCCTCAGACGCCACTAGCCGCCTGCCAGCCCGGGAAGCTGAAGGCGTGTAGGGCGGTGAGCTCGCAGGCGTTGGTCCGGCCGAGCTGCGGCCGCTTCTCCGATCCCTCAGGTCGCGGCGCCAGGCGCTCTCCGAGGTCCTAACCGAGCAGGCGGGCTCCACCACAGGCTCCGCCCTCCCGCCGTGGGAGGCAAGCCCCGCCCCGATACGGCCCCTCTTTCGCCCCGCCCCCCCCTCCTCGGCTGCGCGGGCGGGGAGAAGGGTGGAGCGGTCTGGGACGTCAAAGGGCCGGAGCCGCCTTGCCGCCAATCCTATGCTCCATATCACCAAGTTCCGTAGTCTCCAGGCGCGGAAGAAATTAGAGGATAGGCCGGAGGAAAAGCCAATGAAAGGGGGAGGGGAGAATTTAGAAAAGTAGGTGAGGTATTTGATTGACAGCAATTTTGGCCCGTATACCCCGGCGGTGCTTTGAGGGCTGTAATTGGTGCTACCTGTTGAAGGACGCAAGTGTAAATGAATAGAATGCTTGCAAAGGTGCGAACTGGATCGCCTGGAGTCCGAGTCTGCAGAGCTCCCTTAGCTCCTGCTTTGGGTGATGTTATGAACTGGACATGTGTTTTGTAGCTTTTCACCTCTGAGAACCTCTTCCCGCTCGCCAGGTGCCATCTATTGAGCTCGCTTCACCTACCCTGCCAGCTGCGCTCAACTTCTATTTGCGATTAACCTGTACTGAGCTGTTACCTATTTATGGCTTGACGGGTCATTTCTGCCAGAATGAATTGCATTTCAATTGGGTTTTGACATATATAGGCTTGAAGATCCTAAGGAATTGATTACTCACCTTGTTCACTCTTAGAAGTGCAATTACTCCTTTCAGTCATCTTCACATATCGAAAGTTAATTTTTAAGAGAAGTCTTTCTCTCAGCAAACCTTGTCCATAATACACTTCAAACTTTTTCTGTGAGTCACAATAATCATTTTGGAAGCTGCGCCATTGGGTGCAGAGCATCTGGATGGAAAGATGTCGTTTTGAGCTTGCTATTGAACTGGGGAAAATTTGGACCTAGTTCTGTCAGTCTGTGAAAAGGAAAGCTGCTCACAACTAACTGTATACTTCAGTTAAGGCAACACAACAGAGCTCATAAGTAATCATCTCAAATATTTATTGTCTTATATCTTACAGATCTAGAATGACACCTGTCCGCATCGCACCCTTCATTCAGAATGGGGGTGGTAGAGAAAGAAGACAACTTGCAAGAGATATGACTTGCCTAAGCACATAGCAAGGAAGTAGTAGAAAAGGAGTAGAGCGCAGTTTTTCAGATCCTCAAGTCAACGCTCATACTCCCATTTTGAATGTCTGTTTACTCCTTTTTGTGACTCCTTATATTGTCTCTTATTGTTACAACTAAACAGTAACTCTTGAAGGTAGTCATGGGATTGTATGTCTCATAACTTGTTTAATATCTGGCACAATAATTTCCTTGTAATAGGCTCTTAAAGCATTTGAACTGTTGACTTATTAATGGTTATTAAAGACTTAAAAGATGGTACCCAATTATATCATGTTTGGGAGAGGTAAAAACAAATGCCATGTCTATGTAACCTAGATCTTGGTAGGGTTTTGAATCCTATATTGGACTTCTCTTTCACCTTTTTCCTTCTTGTTTTTTCTCCAAACATAGGTGCCAATTAAACTGAAGAGTTTGCTTTACTCTTTTTATGTCTTTTTTTTTCAAAAGGAAAAAAGGTTTTCTTAACTGTTAGTGCACTAAACATTTCTGTCTAGAATAATGGATTTAGATGCCCTCCTTCCCTTCATTGGCAAGTCTGTCTGTGACTCCTTAATTGTCAAATAAATGAAAACTGAAAAAAAATGAAAGCCTATAAAAAGTGGTGGTCTGGTCTTTTGATGATGGTGAAGAAAGACAATACCCAGTACAGCAAAGAGAGGAGTAATGTTTGCAAGCAAAACTCCTTAAATCACCCATCAGGTCATAAACTGTCATGAACTATTTATTTGGTAGTTTTGATTCAAAAACTTTGGGAATAACTGAAAAAGAAAATGCATATTAAACAGGCTGACAAAGACTCTTCTTGAAAATATTGGAGGGAATTCAAGGGCCTGCTTCAGTTTAAAAGATGTGATAGGGCAGATATCCCTTCAGATGGGACCACAAATAGGTATGAAAAGTAAAAGAAAAGCCATGTTAGAATAGAAAAATGTTTCCAAATAATTATTAGAAACCTGAAAATCTAACCATTATGGACAGCATAATGTATTATATATACTAAGCACCCAGTAAATATTAATTTTAATAAATGACAGCAAGTAAAAATCTTAAAGTAATTGCAATCTGAAAGAGAAATATCCTATGGGCAGAGCATATTGTGATGCCAATTTACAGACTATGACTAAAAGATAGAAATGAGCAAGAAGCAGAATGGATTTTGTATGTGGGGGAACCCCATAAATAATTGTAACCTAAAAATCTTACTAGGTGAGAGAAGCCTATATCTGTAGAAACAAATTCCATCTTGAATGAATCAAGATTTATCCAAAAGCCAAGGTGGAATTTATTCACATTAGCAAGTGTGAACATTTCTAATCTGCTTTCTGGGAGATACTGAGTCCTTCATTATGCAACTTTATTTATCACTCAGTTCTGACTCGATCAAGTTTTAGCCCAATCCTCATTATTTGCCAGTCTAGACATTAGAATTTCATTAAGAGAACACAGCTAAAAAGCCAGGATCCACCTATGTCCTCCCTGGCAAATTTTTCAAGAGATTTAAAAAGGTATCCTTGCTTCTTAAATCTTCATCTGACTTTTTTATGACCCTATTATACATCCTTAAAAAGGGTACTGGTTGTTAATTGTCAGTTTTCTATTATGACAGGAAATAGAAACCAGCAGTAAAATCCCTCATTCAGCCTAGACCAAGCCCACAAAGGGAGAAACCACAGGGTTAATTAAATAATGTCATGGCTCTCATGGGTTTCAAACCAACAGGCAGGGGTCATTAGGATAGAACCAAAATACACAAAGTATGGCTCAGCATACAATCAATAACAGAATTGCAAACAGAACTGATGCCTTCCAGGACAAAACTCAAATATTTGCTATTAAATCTGTAATTAAAATCAGTTCTCTGTGCATATTCCAAAATAGATGTTCACATACTTACCTTGTGATATAGTAAGAGAAGGGGATTTAGTGTTGGGACAGACCTAAGTTTAATAAATGTGGTACTAACAAGTATTTAATCTCAATTTTCCCTTGTATATCAGAACAAATATAGGCTATTAAATAAAATTAGATATGTAAAAAAAATTGTACAATACAAACCTCTTACAAACATACTATTATTTTCTTTCTTTTACTTTTGTGAAATCATCTGTGGGAATTGGCTTTAGACTGGAATTTGTTTTCTCTTTTCTAATAATATAAAAGTTTTTTGTATCTGAAGTTGAAACTGAAGGAGAGAATAAGGGCTTAGACTGGATGACCTTCAAGGTTTTTTTTCAACTCAAAATTCTGTCTTTATATAATTTGTTTAATCAAGGTTTACTGCACTGTCTCCCTAAACAGTAAAAAGCCTTGTTGAAAAGATAATTAAATGGGTACCCATGTAGGCACCTAGCCAATAAAGATGAACCACAGCCCATAGTAGGAAAAATCACAGGAATCCTCAAATGTGTCATTTTTACCAAACAGAGATTTCTGAAAGTGACATCTTTATTAATGTTTCCACACAGGAGCATGTACATCTGACTATGAAAGTAAAATGTGCTTGTTACAGAAACTTTAGCAAGTCTATACATTTATTTCTAGTCCTTTTTAGGATATTTTAAAACCAATTAGAAATATCCAGGATATGCTGTTTTGATTTTCTTTGACTAAACATCTTGTTGTGAACCTCCCTTATTGCATTAAATATTCTTTAGGCACCTCAACTTTGAATGTCAATGTTATATTCAATCGTATGTATGTATATTGCATAATTTATTCAATCATTTCCATATGTGTGGATATTTTATTTATAACTTTATAACACTATAAATAAAAATGAAATGAATACTGTTACACTAAATAATTGATAAAGTTTCCATTTTAGGGGCTATGTAAATAAAGTCTTCATTCATGATTCTTAATTTTATTTTTAAAAGGTTTCACAAATGTATATCCTCATTAAGAGCAGAATTTTCTGTGAAGACTTGTTACAATGAACCTCTGTAAAATGAAATCTCATGCCACCTGCATTACTTTTTTTATTTAGTTATTGACAAATTCAAAGAATTTTTAAATGATGAGTGAGAATAATCAATGTGACAGACCAGGAAAGTCTGACAAACTATGACATGTTACTGCTTGCGGCTTCAGTTTAGAGGGAGAAACTATACTAGATTTTATAAACTTTAAGGTTGGAAAGAAGCAGTCATCCATATTTTTAAAAAATGATAACACAAACTTCCAGTTTCATCAATAAATAACAGTCATAGTTTTGTTATATGATATTGTTATTTGAGAAGAAAATGAAAAAAAATAAGAAGAGAGCGAAAAGGGTGAAGAAAGACTTATAGATAAATCTACAGAAGAATTTCATGAGAAAAAAATCAAATCTTAAAAAAGAATATTAGAAACTTAAAACCAGTTTCGATTTTTGTAACTACAGACAAAGTAAGTAAAGATGTGAACCCTTGGAATTTGCTATTCAAACTCAATCTTGGCAGCAAGATTCAGGCCACATATCATAGATTCTTTGACCTTGCTCTCAGATGATTAAAAACTACAAAGATTGACAGCCTTTCTTGTGCTTGAATTATAGAGACAATAGGAAACTATCCTTTGTAGAGCCAATCTCTCATTTCTGGAAGATTTAATTTACCATGACTCATGATGATTGCACCAGTTTAAGTAGGGATATGTATTTGGTTTTGTGTTGGCAATAACGAATTTAATAATGCTATTACCATATTTTTTTATGATGGGTAACAATCAATTATGATGTTAAAACTTGGTGAGCTGGAGTTATAGCTAGCTCAGTGGTAGAGTGCTTGCCTCACACGCATGAGGCCCTGGATTCAGTCCTCAGCATCACATAAAAGTAAACAAATAAAAGTAAAGATATTGTGTCCATCTAAACAAACAAAAAAAAAGTTAAAA